GTTGTAAATGTGTTACCAATTTGTAATTATAGTAGCCTTTTTGATGGAAAAATGCTTATATTAAAATTAATAAATCAAACACTGTTACAATAAGGACTTAGACTTTGCCATCTACAAATGAGATGCAAAAGTTCCTAAATATATAACAGACAAATGAAAGCAAATTATTAACCTGGTATGAAATATCTCTATGCTTCTAACCTGGTATGAAAAATCTACAATTTCTCTACAAACGAACAAGCAAAAAATAATAAAAAGTACATAAATAAGAAAAATTGTAAATATGGTTGAAACTAGTCATCATTGTCCAATCATTTAGCCGTAGCGCCCTCACTTGGTTCTGTAGACATGTAGACGATTTGATAAAAAAGATGAGAATTAACATTCTTAATTAGAAGATGGACGAATAGGGCGGCTGGGCATTTTCACCAATGCTCTTGACTCTACACCTCAGTTTATGGAAGAATTGAAATTATGGTTCAAACGAAAAATGACTCTATATGTAATGTAATGTAATGTAATGTAATGTAATGTAATGTAATGTAATGTAATGTAATGAGTATTCTAAGATATGTCATCAAGTCAAGGAAAGAATTGTCTGAGATATGTGCAACAATAATTAGTTACACCTACTATTATGATACATAGAAATAATACTAACATAATATTTAACCACATCACCTATAATAGTAACAACTACAACTACAACAATAACAACAACAACAATATAATAATAATAATAATAATAATAATAACAACAATAATAATAATAACAATAATAACAGTAATAACAACAACAACAACAACAACAATAATAATAATAATAATACTGATAATAATAATAGTAAGTTTAAGTCGGTCGACTCCGGTTCAGTTGTTTTCAGTCGATTTCGGTCGGTTTTGGCATGTTACAATTAGTTTTAGGCGGTTTTGTTCGGTTCGGCCTTTTTTCAAGCTTAATCCTTAAACCGTGAATCGAACCACATATGATTTGATCAATTTTCATCGAATTTGATTTTCAAACCGGATTTTTATCGATTCGATTAGTTTGTCAATCATTTTGGGTTTATGAATTGTTTGTTCGGTCGTTACTATGTATACCTCATAGGCGATAAGGTCGAAGCTAGCTAGCATTGTTTAATTTGGTACATTGATAGAGGGGAATATGCTTATGCAACAATCTCTCAACTGTGTCGTATTTATCTCACCATTGCAACTAATTACTAGTGTTGACTTTAAGATATGGGGGGGGTCTAGTGAGGACTTGTTATCATTAGAACTTTTAATAGGATGCACATGGGGGTATTTTGTGTAATTATTGTAGAGTTATTACAAAAATGCCACCTTATTAATTCTAACCCTAGATTCCCTAAATTGCAAGAGTGTTGATTAGAAGTTCTCATCTGTAAATGGGTTCTCATTTTAAAGGGAGTTCTCACTAGAACCATCCCGTATATATATGGAGCAGTTACGGTGAGAAAGGACCCCGTGAGAAAAATGAGAATGAATCTGGAACATTAGATTGTGTTAAGTGAAATCGAATTATACATTTGGTGAAACTGAAATGTGCATCAGGTGAAATCGACATGTGCAGAATAAAAGGTAAAAGTCAAATATGCATTACGGGAAATTGAAATGTGCGAAATAAAAGGCACAAAAATGTCACCACATCGTAGATTTTATTCCACACATTTCATTTTCACCTAATACAGATTTCAGATTCACCTAATGCACAATTCAGCTTCGCATAATGCTACAATGTCCTACCTTTTGTGATGCACATTTTGACTTCATCTAATGCACACTTAAGTTTCAACTAATGCACATTTTAACGGTTCAGATTCATTTTCATTACTCTCCTATCAGATCATTTTCTCATTTGAACTGAATTATATATAATTCAGTTCAAATGAGAAAATGATCTTATAGGAGAGTAATGAAACTGAATCTGAACCGTTAAAATGAATCTGAACCGTTAATATATATAGGGAGCGGTTCCGGTAAGAACAGACTCTCATGAGAGAAATAAGAACGAATCTGGACCGTTGGATTGTACTATCTGAAACGGAAATGTGCATTTGGTGAAACTGAAATGTGCATTAGATGATATTGAAATGTGCAGAATAAAAATTTAAACTCAAGTGTGTGCATTGGGTGAAACTAAAATGTGCGGAATAAAATGTACAAAAAAACATCACATCGTACCTTTTATTCTGCACATTTCAGTTTCACTTAGTGCACATTTCAATTTCATATAATTCACAATTCAGTTTCACATAATGTCATTGTATCGTACCATTTGTGCTGCATATTTTAATTTCACCTAATGCACATTACAGTTTCATTTAATGCACATTGCATTTCACTTAAAGCAAATCTAACGGTCCAAATTCATTCTCATTTCTCTCCTAAGATCATTTTCTTATTTGAACCAAAACCTATATATATATATATATATATATATATATATATATATATATATATATATATATATATAAGATATCAAGTACAAACCATGCTTAAAATACTAACCTACAAATTCAATAATATGCAGTACTTTGAAATTCAATATGCAGTAAAAATAATGTAAAGATGCAGGGGTGAGATCACATACAAACTAGTCCTCCCATTCAAATCATCTTTACATTATTTGTATTGCATATTGAAGTTCAAAGTGTTTCATATTATTCAAGCCATAAAATAGCAGTTTCATATTTACATTATTTGTATTGCATATTATAATTCAAAGACTGCATCTTTACATTATCTGTACTGCATATTGAAGTTCAAAGTGTTGCATATTATTGAGTTTGTAGGTTAGTAAATTAAGCATGGTTTGTATGTGATCGCACCCCTATATATACACACACACATACATATATACATATATACATATATACATATACACATATACATATACATATACATATACATATACATATACATATACATATACATATACATATACATATATATTTATACATATACATATACATAGGGAAGAGATCAAATAAAAAGAGGTTCTCCCGTGCAAAGTGCGAACATTTGCACTTTTTCTTAATCGCGTTGCACTTTTGTGTGTTTCTGTTTCACTTTTTCGCGATGGCAAAAAACTTCGTTTTAATTACGAAATTGCCACCGCGTTTTTGATCAAATTTAGTTCACTTTTGGCTCATTTTGAGCCATTAGATCTCAAAATGAACGCACGAGATTAATTCTCACTTTGCATGGGAAGACCTCTTTGTATTTGAACCCTCCCCCATATACATATACATATACATATACATATACATATACATATACATATACATATACATATTGATAGAGTATATCTAGAGAGAAGTGAGAGCTAGAGAGAGAAGTGCAATAATATGCTTCAATAGAATGAATTCGTCACACCTATAACTACTCCCAAGGGGAGTATTTATAGAGAAAATTAGGGTTGGGCTCCCAAGCCTTGGGCTTGGGAGGCCCATTTACAACTGGACCGCTAATGGGCCGAATACAAAGCCTCTAATGGGCTGTACAAATGAGTAAGTATAGAATCCGTTTCTGGGAGGTCTTCGTGGCCGACGAGGGCGTGGCCGACGAGGGCGCGGCCGACGAGGGCACGACCGACGAGGGCACCCGAGTTCCTTGGGTTCAGGACCGTAATCTGAGTTGGCCCCTTTTCGGCCGACGGGGGCGTCTTGGCCGACGAGGGCGCCACTCTGTTGACTTGTGCTCTGTTCTTCCGAGTATGTGGGTCCTGGAGCTCAGACCCATATACTCCATCACATATACATATACATATACATATACATATACATATACATATACATATATATATATATATATATAATAAAGATCAAATGAGAACAATGCTTAACTTGAGAACGTGAGAACACCAAATTTACCCCCAACATGTTGCACAATGAAGCTTATATATTGCACATTTTCACATTTTCACAATATTTTCCAAAATGCCACCGTGTTTATATAATATAGGCTCAATTCGAGCTAATTGAAAATGTGCAAAAGAATAGCTCAATTGTGCACCACATTGATTTAAATGTGAGTGTTCTCACGTTCTCACGTTAAGCATCGTTCTCACTGGAACCGCACCCTATATATATATATATTGGCATTTTGGTAAATATTGTGAAAATGTGAAAATGTGCAATATACAAGCTTCGTTGTGCAACACGTTGGGGTAAATGTGGTGTTCTCACGTTCTCACGTTAAGCATTGTTCTCATTTGATCTTTATTCTATATATATATATATATATATATATATATATATATATATATATATATATATATATATATATATATATATATATATATATATATATATATATATATATATATATATATATATATATATATATATGCCCGGCTTGGCCGAACAAGAATATTTGTGTGTGTGTGTGTACACACACATACACGCATGCACACACACACACACACATATATATATATATATATATATATATATATATATATATATATATATATATATATATATATATATATATATATATATATATATATATATTAAATTCAATACTAGTAATTAGTTGCAATGCTAGCTAGCTTCGACCTTATCGTCTATGAGGTATACATACTAATGACCGAACAAAAAATCCATAAACACAAAACAATTGACAAACTAATCCAATCGATAAAAACCGAGTCCGTGAAAATCAAAATTGAAAAAAAAAATTGGTCAAATCATATGCGGTCCGATTCACGGTTTAAAGATTAAGCTTGAAGAAAAGGCTGAAACAAACAAAACCGCCTAATACTGATTGTAACATGCCAAAACCGATCAAAACCAACTGAAAACAACTGAACCAAAGTCGACCGACTAAATGTAGTCAGTTTGACTTGTGGTTTTACCTTTCTTAATATGGAACCAATCTAAACCGAACCGGTAAAACTGAAAAACCGGGAAAATTGAACCAATGAACGCCCCTATATATACACAACTTTATTGATCTATTTTAAACATGAAATCTATAGTTTCACGTCTCTCCATCTATGCCGGCCATATCTTTCAACAATCAACGCTCAAGTTTTTTTTGTTGATAAATAATTGCCATGGATTTGAGTTCAATCGTAGCCCCTTATCGGTATCATTTCCATGTGTTTGTTAACAACGCTATTCTCAATGGCGTTGAAAATCGTCCGGCGAATGCCTTCTTCATTCATTTTACTGTCCGGAATACAACTAACCTTCACTATATTTCCCGTCAAACCAACATGTGGGCCTTTCACCGTAATCTAAACGAAGATCCACACTTTACAAAAAACCTCATACTTTCCGCAAACAATATGCTTTGTGACTTGAGCACAAGCTTCAATGAGGTGGCTATGGTGCTCGCAGAAGCTGCCATTCCCGCCTCGGAGCACGCTTGCATTGTGGAAAAACTCAACTCCACCGCCATGGCGGTGGCTCGACGGTTGGGCAACCTTGAGGACGCAACCATCCCTCTTGTTGTGTATATTTCCAAGTCACACTTCCAGATCATCGAAGATCCCTTCCAATCCAACTTGGAAGAGTATGTGAACAACCAGGTAGTGAGATTTTTCTATTTTAGAAGGAGTTCGATCCTTGATTTTACGCTTATAATATTTTTGAGTGGGCTTGATATCATAGTGTTTCGATCAACTTAAGAGATTTAAATCATCACTCAACTTTTTTTAATCAAGTTTGAACTTTTCACCGCTAGATTATGTAATTTTCTGATCATGTAGGATGTGATTCCTTTTTTAACTGAATTGGTTTAAGTTGTTGAAGAAGACTAGTTATGCTTTTTTTAATACCACATATAATTTTTTCTTTACTCTATTAATAGTTAATATTGTATAGTCTCTTAGTTACTTAAGTATAAAATTTGAATATAAGTTACTATGACTAAGTACTACTATAGTCATATGTATATTTAGGTCACATCTTTTGTTGTAAACAACATTTATTTTCGCGTACACGTGTCATTATTTCCTTAACTTTTTTCATAAGTCTGTTGTTTTAGCTAGAATTTTAGAAACTCTAGAGAATTCAGTTAATTATACAGGATTTAAAGAACATGCTCTTAATCTCCTAAATGAGACACTTTGGTTACACGTTTGATTTTTTTTAAAACTTGAGTTAACTCACAATGTTGGTGATCACATTTTTAATATTACCGTGTTTTCACATTGATTGGTGTACGAATTTGATTGCATCAAATTTTAGTAGACATGATAGACTAGGTTTAACAAGAATGACTTAAAAGAACACTAACTTACAAAAAATATACACATAATATTTTCCGTATTAAGGAAACGTAAAAAATAATTTCATTCTATGTGAAAAAGCAATTAGTCTTTGAGAGTGACATTGTTAGTTCTCCAAATAAAAAATGACTTTTTCATGCTCAAACTGTTTTACAAAATTCCATAAAAAAAGGAAAAATTAACTTCATAATAACTAGAAGAAAAAAAACAAAACAACAGAAATGGGTTCTAGAGAAACATCATATCAATATATAAAGGAACCTATAATGCAAAGTTGAATTATTACTACATGTTCTTCTACTATTATAGTGGGCAGCGGCAGACAGAGACAGATTTGAGGAGTTTGATTATAACGAGGAAGAGGAAAATGAGATTGATGATGAACTGGCAAGGTTAGCGATAGATAATGAGGAGGATTACAATATTTCTAATGCAACCGAGTCTTCAATCGCTACACTAGAGAAGGTGAAGTCCACCGAAAAAGGAGAATGTGCGATCTGCTTGGAAGATATGGAGGTGAACGAAATGGTGACTCGCATGCCTTGCGATCACAAGTTTCATGGAGATTGCATTGTGCAGTGGTTGGGAAAGGGACATGTCTGCCCCTTGTGCCGTTTCGAAATGCCGGTGGCCACCACCGTTGCCGCAATGGATGGTCATCCTACCGCCTAGTTAGGGAAATTTCAAAATGCATTATCCTTTAATTATGTATTTATTTAGTATTTTGGTCATGCAATTTGTTTTTTGTTGTATGTGCAATTTGTGTTATAGACAATCAGTTTTCAATTTTAATTATGGGTTTATTTACTAATTTGGTTGTGCAATTTGTCATTTTTTTGCACATTTGCAATTTGTGTTATATATAATCAGTTCTTGGTAAGGTATACATTTCTATCATTGGAACACCCCGAAAAGACGTGAGCATCGAACCGGGTATAACACGCATCTCCTGGATCAAATCTCATGGGGACGTATTCAATGCACCTATGGATTGAAGACACATGTAAATAGTTACACTATTTAGCAATGGTTGAAATATATATACCCTTTGATAATAATTTTGTAAGGCTAAAAATACTCATTCTCTTTTTTTAAACCAAATAAGATCCTTATTATTAGGGGTGGACAAATCGGTTGGGTTTTACCGAACCGAACTATACCAAGCCGCATTAAAGCAAACTGAAATACCATATGCAATTTTGTTTGAATTTGGTATTATTTCTTCCAAACCATATTAAACTGAAAAGAAACCGAGAAAAACCGAACCGAAGTAAAGAAATTTAATAAAACTTTCATATATTAAAAAAATATCAAATCCAAATCGAACTAACTAAATCGAACCGAACCGAAATAATGTATGCTTTTGTTTGGTAATAATTCTTCCAAACTGTTCAAAATTGAACCGATAAAAATCGAATCGAATACTGATATGATCACCCCTACTTATTACTTTCTTTAGCTAGCAAATAGCTCCTACTTTGTGGACTATATCAACGGTTCTGATTTCGGTGTTTTACTGAACCGGACAATTTTTATGTGCTCAGTTATATCAATCCTATTTTTCACCCCTAAGAAAATAGTTGGTATAGTTGAGGATATTATAGTTGCTTCTCAAATCAAAGTATACGTACATTAAATATCGAGTACTACTAAGATCTGGGGTTCTATCCTAAAATGTCAACCTGATAGGAGGAGTAGCTCATGTCTTAATATAACACTTTGTTGATTCAAACTTTTCCGGTGTGGGATTCTAACACCCCTCCTGACCACTAAACACTTCGTCTGGATCATGCCGTCAGTCATTTTTTCGTCGGTTCATCATTGTCATTTTTTAATCGTGTCATCATTTTTCATAAGGGGACTACACCATGGATCAATTTGGCTCTAATACCATGTTAAGATCTAGGGTTCCATCCTAAAAGGGCACTCTAACAGGAGGAGTAGCACATGTCTTAATATAGCACTTTGTTGATTCGAACTTTTCCGGTGTGAGATTCTAACAAGTACTAATACTCTTTTTAAAAAATCTTAACCTCATCCTTTTCCCCAAACAGCAAACAATAAAACAATAGGGATGATTTAAAATTTCTGAAAATTTAGTAATTCTTTAAGTAAGATTTTGTTTAACTCTTTGAAAATGTTTTTAAAAGAATCAAATGTATTGTAGAGAAATATTTCAATAAAAAAAAGAAAAAAGTAAAAGATTCCAAAACACTCTTGGAACCATGAAAAGAAGTGAGAGTACCCAAAAAGTGAGAGTACCCAAACTGATGGAATGACATATTAAAACACTAAGATTTGACTCTCTTCATTCTTTAATTAATACTTGGCTATACCCACATAACTTCATTTCTTGATACACTCTCTTTCGTAACTATTGTGCTATTCATGCAGGGCCGGTCTTGGAGCATGGACAAAGGGGCATGTGCTCAGGGCCCATTGCTTCCTAGGGTCCATAAATTTTCCAGTTATATATGAGGAATACTTGGATCAGTCCAAACTGACCAGAACCGCCTTTTGGGTTGACTTTTTAATGAAATTTTGTTAGCACGTTCTTCATGAAATGTAAAACATTCACATAAAACTTCATCAAAAAATTCAATTGAGAGTTACTTAATTAAATTCTTCAAGAACACTGTGCAAATGGAATTTTAAGCTGAAATTTTGAGCAAATGTGCTAAACTTCATGACGAACATGTTCACAAAATTTCATCAAAAAATGTAACTCAGAAAGCCCTCAAACGGGCTTGGCCACAAAGCGGTTCTGGTCAGTTCGGACTGACCAGAATTATATATATATATAATACTTTGTTGATTCAAACTTTTCCGATGTGAGATTCTAACAAGTACTAATACTCTTTTTAAAAAATCTTAACCTCATCCTTTTCCCCAAACAACAAACGATAAAACAATTAGGATGATTTAAAATTTCTGAAAATTTAGTACTCCCTCCGTTCTTAAATAAACTTCCAACTTTCCTTTTTCATCCGTTCCAATTAAAACTTCAACTTTCTCTTTTTGGTAAAAGATTTGTGGTTCACAACATTTTTTACACATTTCTCTCTCCTCTGCACAACTCTCCACCACACAATACCCACTATCTTAAACTCTGTGCCAAACCTATTTGGAAGTTTTAATAGGAACGGAGGTAGTAATTCTTTAAGTAAGATTTTGTTTCTCTTTGAAAATGTTTTTAAAAGAATCAAATGTATTGTAGAGAAATATTTCAATAAAAAAAAAGAAAAAAGTAAAAGATTCCAAAACACTCTTGGAACCATGAAAAGAAGTGAGAGTACCCAAAAAGTGAGAGTACCCAAAAAGTGAGAGTACCGAAACCGATGGAATGACATATTAAAACACTAAGATTTGACTCTCTTCATTCTTTAATTAATACTCCGTACTTGGCTATACCCACATAACTTCATTTCTTGATACACTCTCTTTCCTAACTAGTGCTATTCATGCAGGGCCGGTCCTGGAGCATGGACAAAGGGCATGAGTCCAGGGCCCATTGCTTCCTAGGGTCCATAAATTTTCCAGTTATATATGAGGAATACTTGGATCAGTCCAAACTGACCAGAACCGCCTTTTGGGTTGACTTTTGTAATGAAATTTTGTTAGCACGTTCTTCATGAAATGTAAAACATTCACATAAAACTTCATCAAAAAATTCAATTGAGATTTAGTTAATTAAATTCTTCAAGAACACTGTGCAAATGGAATTTTGAGCTGAAATTTTGAGCAAATGTGCTAAACTTCAGGACGAACATGTTCACAAAATTTCATCAAAAAATGTAACTCAGAAAGCCCTCAAACGGGCTTGGCCACAAAGCGGTTCTGGTCAGTTCGGACTGACCAGAATTTTATATATACTACCTCTGTCCCTTAAAAACTTTGTCAACTTTCCTTTTTTGGATGTCCCACTAACTTTGCCACTTTACCATTTAAGTAAAGAATTTGTGGTTCCAATTAATTCTCTCTCCTCTGCACAAACCTCAACCACACAGTGATGGATAGTCTACCCGGGGGTATATATCCGAAGGGTTATTGCGGAGAATAACTAGAGAGAAGTCAGAGCAAACAAGTAAGAGAGAGAGTGTATATTCGATATGTATTAAGCGTGGTTACAAATGGGGAAATGGGGTGCTATTTATAGTAGCAATAAATGCCGGGCAGGGACACGTGTCAAGCGCTCATTGGCCGAGGGGTCACCTCAACTGGTTGGCGCTGGCAGCCGCATGTGGCCGCATTTAATGCGGCTGTTGGATGGGACGTCTGTGCGGGGTACGGTGATCTGTACGCATGTGAGGCGGATATCTTGTCGAGTGAGATGCCTTCGGCCATAGAGCAGTAGCCGAGGGCTCTTCCACCCGATGGCACCCTGGTGCCGAGGGCTCACAGTGCCGAGGGCTACTGTTTTCGCCATTTTCTCCCAGTTTCTTAGTTTGCTTGAGAAACCCGTTCTGTGAGAATTTGGAGCCTTCGGCCAGGGGGCCGAAGGCACCCCTGGCGCGTTGTGCGGACTGCTTGGTACTCTGGGCGCTGTGATTTGGGCCTGTTGGGCCTGTTGGGCCTTTGATGGAGCAGTAGGAGTCTGTGGGCCGGGGGTTCCCGGGCCATATACTCCATCAGGAGTCCCTCACTCCTTTTGCCGAAAGGTACTTGAGGGAAAAGGAGTAACTTGTGCTTGCCCTTTGATGTTGTCCCATCGTGATTCCTGAAGTTGGTGAGGAGTTGTTGCTTTTATGTCCCTGCCGAAGGCAGTCCCTCAGTTACCCACATGTCGGGACTTGATGGCTTGCTTTGTTGTTTGTTGGAATTTCACAGATTTTGTAATTTAATGATTTTCCCGAAGGGGTCCTCCAGTCCCCCACTCCTTGAGGCACTTGTAAAGTGGTGAAAAGGAGTAAAGTAGTTACGTTGCCGTTGTGGACCGAAGGCTGACGCTTTTCGTTTCATTTTGGGGGGATGCCTCGTTAAAAACCTCATTAGGAAAAACCCTTTGGGAAAAAATCCTAATGAGGGAAAAAGAGTGCACCGAATTCCCCCAATGATGAATCGAAAATGTCAAACCTTGGTACAAAGTGGAGAATGACGGGAATGCCGAAGGCTCTCTCCTCTGAGGGCTCCTGTGTTGATTAGCCGGAGGCTTGCTGTTGATGTCCTGGTGGCGCCGAAGGGGAGCCCCTCAATCCAGGGATCGAGGGCCTGCCAGATGAGGGCAGCAGTGAAGCTGTTACCGGGGGGTCCACTGTTTGTTGATGAGTTGGTGATGAAGATACCCGAGGGCCATGGGCCATCCGTCAATGAGGCACTCCCCGGGGGCTACCCGGTTTTGCAGTGCTGAGGGGAAAACCCCGAGGGGTGACCTGATATGCAGCCCTAGGGATCTGAAGGAGTGATCCCGAAGGCGTGTGTAATGTGCTGTGTGGGGCACAACCCGAGGGCACTTCTGGGTGAGTGCACCCGGAGGCTATCCTTGATGAAGTGGAGTGAAGTAGAAAACCCGGGGGCTTCCAAAATATAGCCGTTGGAAATATAGCCGTTGGAATATGTAACGACGGGATATAGCCGTTGGGGGGGCACACGTGGCGTGTGATGGCTGGCTGTCTGTGGGCGGCGTCACCGGTTGGGCGAAGACGCGGTGAGTAATGATGGCGTCCATCCGGAGGCCCGGAACCCAGGCCCAAGCCCGGATTCCAGCGCCTATAAATACCCCAAGGCCAGAGCCATTTCCTCTTGTGCGATCAGTTGTTTTAGCGAAGCTCTGCCAAAAAATCTAGTGAGAGAAACTCCAGCCTTCGGTCCTAACTCAGCTTTCGAGGTCAGTGCTCCCTGCCTTTCTCCTTCTAGCATAGCTGTACTGTGCCCTTAGGTTAGGAGA